TTACAGAACGCACCGACCAGCATGTTCAGTCCGCCACCACGCCCTCGGCACGCTGAAACGTGTCAGTACGTCTGTCGGTCGTCTGATTGGATTTCCGTTGTGTTTCCAGGGCCAGCTCTTCCCCCTAGTCGCACGCGTCATCAGAAAATTGCCCCCCCATCCCCTGGTGTTGTTTCCCGTGGTACGTTCGGCCTGAGAACGGCCCCAAGACAGAAGAAGTCCGCCCCAGAACGGCTTCGAGACGGACAGCGTCAGTCCGAAGACGGCCCAGCAAACCTCCACGGGTTCCAAGATCCTCCCATGGCACCCCAAGACGGCCAAAGAAGCACCCCAAAAAAAGTTCAATGAGCCTCCAGCGAGGCCCGCAGAAGCGAAAAACATGGAAACACATCATGTAAATATCCTGGCGGAAGACCCAACCATATGCAGTTGTGAATACCGCGGTAGTGCGTGTCCTTTTCGGTGGAGTTCCCTGTGGGACCCGAAACGCGTGAGGAGTGTGCCAAAACGAGCGCGGCGGTTCCATGCGGGGGCTGCCACTGGGGCCTTAGGTTCAGCTCCTTTGGGGCCACGAACTGTGTGAGGGGTGTGCCGGAACTTGCGCGGTGGTGCCACGCGGGCACTGCAACTGGGGCGTTTGGTGCAACTCCTAATGGGGCCCGAAACGAGTGAGGGGTGTGCCGAAAAAGGTTTGGTGGTGCCATGCGAGCGTTGCCACTGGAGCCTCAGGTGGAAATTCCGCAGGAACCACGAACCGTGTGAGGGGTGTGCCGAAGCGTGTGCGGTGGTGCCATGCGGGCATTGCCACTGGGTTCCTAGGTGCAGCTCCCTATGGGGTCACGAACCGTGTGAGGGGTGTGCCGAAACGTGCGCGGTGGTGCCATGCAGGCGCTGCCACTGGGGCATGAAGTGGAGATCCTTCTGGAACCACGAACCGCGTGAGGGGTGTGCCGAAGCGTGCGCGGTGGTGCCATGCGGGCGCTGCCACTGGAGCCTGAAGTGGATGCCCTATGGTGCCACGAACCGTGTGAGGAGTGTGCCGACGCGTGCGCGGTGACGCCATGCGGGCGCTGCCACTGGGGCCTTGGGTGCAGCTCCTTATGGCGCCACGAACCGTGTGAGAGGTGTGTCGAAACGTGCGCGGTGGTGCCATGAGGGCGCTGCCACTGGGGCCTTAGGTTGAACTCCCTATGAGGCCCCGAAGCCTGTGAGGGGCGGACTGCGTATGGAGAACGGCAACGGCGATCAGTATGAGGACGAGGATGATGAGGATGATGATCAGACACCACCCCTTCGCGTGTCTGACCGCCTAGCTAAAGTTTCGCGGAGCGCTGGGGCCCTCTTGGCCACAGCACAAGCCCTGCTTCGGAGGAGCCCCATCGAGCCACCCACGCCCACATAAATCCTCGTGTCTTAGCATATGAAGGCAAAGAACAACAGATCACGCATGTAAAGTCAGCCATGCAAAGCACGGGGGGGGGCGGATATGGAATTTTACAAACACCTCTCGCATCCTCTAAGAAAACTTACCATGCAGGGAGAGTTGGGGTCACGTCACAGAGAAAGGGAACCGCAAGAAAACAATCAACGTAATGAAAAATATGGCATCCGCCGACCGCCCCACACCCATACCTGCAGCAAACGGCGCTTTGCCGGTAGCGAGCGGTGGTCGGCCATGCATCATTCACACCCCTGAAGATACCCACGCCAAGAAAGGATCACATGCTACATGCAGCCCTGGTATTGGTACGAGGGTCGCGACTAACGTGGTGCCATTGGGGGTATTGAAAATGATCCGGCAACAGGAAACGAAGCCTGGGCACGAGCAGGTGACACACGGAAAGGGGGGCGGATCTCGCCGAGAAACTTGCAATTGAGTTTCCGCTGTACGTCATGGCGTGTCCCCATCGATTTCGGGGCAGAGGTTAGTCGGACTCCTATAGTTGCGCAACAGCGGGAAACACACGAACAGTCGCTCGGCATCCATGTTCCCCCATTGGCAACGCTGAATTAGAAACCCGTTAAACGCACGACTTTTGAGGGCAGCTCGATACATGCTGGCTTTGCTAGTACATTCGAAAAGCCACGCGCGGACAAAAATTTCAAGTGTGGGCCGACACCATCTTCCAGGAGATGCGATGCAGCGTCATCCACACCGCCGCGATGCGCCCTCCCTCCCGCCATCACCCAGCTAGGGTTACCGCTGAGTGTGCTGTCGATGCGCCTCCACGCAACCTGCAACTGCGACAAATACGAGCGCTGCTGCCGGATCCGTTTGGTGCACTGCAGCACCACCTGGCTCAACGTTTGGATGGGGTCGGACTACACATGGGGCTGCGTCATGAGGGCCAGCGAGAGAGTCGCCGCCGGTCTGGCGCCAGCTAGAACCCCTGCCTGCCCACGCGCCTGCCTGAGCGCATCGCAAGCCCCTCAACTGAGTGCTGCACCATGAAGCGCCATGGGGGCCAGCCCAGTGAGCTGAAGCTTCCCCATTCTTCGCCCGACCGACTTGGTGAGGCTGACGAACTGTCGCTTGCGCCCCTTGAGGACGTCGATCCGAACCCGCTCTTGGTACCTGCGAGGCTGCATCGCGGACAACTCGTGGCCGAGGTTGCGCATTCAGCCCTGGCGCTTGACCTCCATGCGGTCCGCGTAGGTCTGAAACCATCGCCTGAGGTTCACCGCGGTGGCTACGAACCCCATCTTCTTGGGCTGCACTGGAAACTTGAGGTTCGCGAGGTCCTGAAGCAAGCTCTGGTACACTCTGGCCATACCGCAGATGGAACTCCCTGTGGGGGGGGGGGGGGGGAACCGTGTGACTGATGAGCTGGCGTGGACGGATGGAGGGCACAGGCGCCCGCGGCCACTGAGACCGGTGGTGGAGCTCACCACGAGGGCAGAATCTGCGTGAGTGGCACACCGAAGCACGCGGGGGGCGGCGTCCGAGCTTTCCCGCTGCGGCGCGGGTGGAGGTTCCTCGCGGAGCCCCGAGCGTGAGCGGGGGGGGGCGGCGAGCGCGCGGGGGGCGCGCCGAGAGGGGCGGGGGGCGGCATGCGCCCACGCGCACCGGGACCGGCGGTGGAGATCCCTGTGGGGCGAGGAGCGTGTGAGGGGGGTGTGCCAAAGTGGGCACGCGGCGGCACGCGCCCGCGCCGTGGGGCCGCAGGTGGAGATCCATCTCGGGGCACGAGGCGGTTGGAGGGGCAAGCGGAGATTGACACGCGGACGGAGAGCAGAGGCATGGAGAGGGAGAGGAAGAGGAGGGGGCGGAGATGAGACGGAGGAGGAGACGTGCGGCGCTGCGGTCCAAACGAGGTTCCAACAAGGTAGGAGGGCTTGTTGGGAATCCATGTCCGTTGCTTCGTGCACGATTTTCGGGATCGGATCGCCTGGGGCAACCTAGAGAGAGCCCCAAGAAGGCCCAAAACTGCCTCAACAGCGCCCCTCGACAGCCCCAAGGCAGCCTTTAGAACCCCGCAAAATGGCTCAAGAGGGTTCCAAGACAGCCCCAAGACCCACCAAGATGTCCCCAAGACGGCTCAACCAAGCCTGTTCGGAAGAGCTCTGTGGAAGCTTCACGCCCAAGTCGGCCCCGAGACTCCCGACGGGCCCCGAACAAAATCCCAAGGCCCAAGAGGCCCCAGAGAGGCCCCCAAAAAACTCCCAAGAAGCCTCCAGCGCGCCAGATCTTCAAAAGGGAGAGGGAAGGGAAGAAGGAGAAAAGAAGGAAGAAGGAATGACGAGGAACACGAGGCTGCGGAGCCAGTCCAAACAGAGCACTGATCTGGAGCAGGCTTTAAACTCAACATCCTTTCTGCAGCGCTGCTGCGCTGGCACGGTGGCTGGATCTGCCGCAGGCAGCTGGATAACCCAAAATAAGTTAGGATCCTCCAAAAAACGGCCGTTTCGCTCGGGACATCCTCAAAAAATCGCGAAGATGGCCCAAGATGGCCTCCAAGTCCGCCCGAGATGGTCCAAGACGGCCTCCAAAACGGCCCAAGAGAGTCCAAGACGGCCCAAGACGGCCCAAGAGGCCCCCCAGAGGCCTCCCAGACGGCCCAAGAGGCCTCCAAGAGGTCCTCCAGGAGAGTCCGAAGAGGCCAAAATCATTGATTTTCCCTTGGTTTTTGAAGGATTTTGGCATTTGCGCCTTTTCGGCTCTCCGACGGCTCAAGACGGCCCAAGAAGCCCCCAAGATCGCCCAAGAGGCCCCCAAGAGAGCCCCCTGATGGCCCAAGTGGCCTCCAAGATGGCCCCTAGAGGGCCCCAAGACGGCCCAAGAGGCCTCCAACACGCCCAAGATGGCCTCCAAGACGCCCAAGATGGCCTCCAAGACGGCCCTGGAGCGCCCCAAGAGGGTCCCCCGTTGGCCCAGAAAGGCCCCCAAAACGGCTCCCGACGGCGTCAGACGTGCCAGGAACCCACCAAGATGGCCGAAGTTGGCTCGAAGCTGGCCCAAAAGGGCCCAAGAGGCCCCCAAGAGGGCCTCCAGGAAGGCCAAAAGATGCCAAAATCACTGATTTTCCCAAGGTTTTTGATGGATTTGGGACATTTCCCTTCTTTCGGCCTTCCGACGGCCCGAGACGGCCCAAGAGCCCCCAAAGATCGCCGAAAGATCGCCCAAGAGGCCTCCAAGACGGCGACGATGACCATCAAGACGCCCACGTGTTCCCCGAAGGCTTTCCAAACCGATTCGGGGAACACATGGTCCGATGGCTTGGCAGGTCTGGCCTCAACGTTCGGCCACATAGGCGCTTCCACAAAGGCAGGGGGCGGCGGTGATTCGCCGTAGGCGTCTTCGATAACCCAAAATAAGTTAGGAACACGAAAACGGCGAATACAAGCCCTTGGAAGAGCCCGTGGTGCATGCGCAAGTCCTGAAAGAAGTCGGCAACACCATCCAGGGCGATGCCGTGGGCGACCAGCGTCGTGATTGTCTGCCCCATAGATCCGAAATACTTGTCCCTCAAAAACTCGTGCTCGTCACTGGTACCAGTGGTGAGCAGCACGCTGCACGTGTACAAGAGGATTGCGATGAGGACCCAGATGAAGGCTGCAGAGCGCATTCCACTGACCATCCCCCGCAGGATGACCATGACGTCCTTGATGTCGCGCAAAAGCCGTTGCATTCTTGCCAACCTCGTTAGCCGCAGGACCTGCAAAGCGGGCGTGGAACCCGCTGCGATCGCTGTGTAAGGGACCACCAGGACCTCCAGCACGATCGAAGCAGTACACAGTGCGTCGAGGCAAAACCAGGTGCTTCGGAACCACAACGCTTTGCACTTCATGCTGATGAAATTGATCATCAACTCAACGACGAAATCCGCCGACCCGCGCTTGCGAGGGGTGGCAGGGCGCACGAGATGTTCACTGTCATCCTCCCACTGTTCCGCCTGTCCGAGGGTGCAACATGTCCTTCGAGGTTGCCCTCACCACACACGGCGAGACACTGAGCACACCTCCACGCCCGGAGTGCCTGCGGTATGTTCAAGTCAGCCCAGGATTGCTTCCAAGACCCTCAGATAGCTCAACCTAGTCCAAGGTTGATTCCACGATGGCACAAGACGGCGTGCATTGATCCGAGCTTATCCAGGATGATCCAAAGAGGCCCCAAGGTGGCCGTTGATGGATCCAAGGTGGCACCAGAGCCTCCCGAGGCGTCACCTGAGAGACCTGAATCCTTAACTAACAACGTAAGGCTGCTGACGTTGGCCTTCTCGCTTTGTTGACACAGATCGGCTACAGAACAATGCCACATCTCCCGATCTTCCGCGGCCATTTCTGCAGAATCCCATGTGTGCGTGTGTTCCTTCTCCTCGTGCCTCTCTTGCGCCAGGTATAGAAGATCGAAAGCCTGATGGCCGATTGCCAATGCTGTAAACGAGCTCACTCACGCTGCCTCCACCAGGCAAGGCAAGCGCATCCGCTGCAAAACAAGAAAGGGGGGTCGCCAATGCAAGCTTCAGCCATCCGCTGCCCCTCCCCTCACCGCAGGCCTGTGCGGGATTGGACTGATATCCTGTGGTTGTCCTGTTGTCTCACGTTTGCTTGTATCTTGTCGCTTCGGGGCCCGCGGCGTAGAGACCAGAACTGGCGAACCAACAACACACACCCATACCCATAGGGGGGTCGGAGAGGGCTATGGGTGCGTGTTGTCGGATGGGGGTCCCCGCTCGAATGGGAGCGTTCCCCAGGGTCCGACAACCCGCACCCATACCCATAGCCAGTCCTCCTCTCAACGAACCCCCTATGGGTATGGGTGTGTGTTGCTCGTTCGTCAAGAACCTGAGGGGGGGCTCAAATCCCTGGTCGCTCCGAGGATCCCACGATCTCCGCGAGGACGCCACCGCACGGCCAGCAAAGCCCAAGAGGCCGCCACGACGGCACCGGGAGGCTCCGAGGAAAGCCTCGAGATCCCAAGGCGGTCCAGCACGGTCCCCAAATAGACTCGGGACGGCCATGGAGGCCCCAAAGACGCCACAAGAGGGCCCCAAGAGGACGACTGCCCAGAACGACTCCCGAAACCGAAAGCATTGCTTCTCGAGTATGTGTGAAAAGTGTTCGCGCTCTCGCCGTTGTGGCCCTCCAGGAGCCTAAGACGGCCCAAGACGCCTCCAAGATGGCCCCCAAACGGCCTCAGAGAGACGCAAGAGAAAAGCAAGAGAGCCCCAACATGGCCGAAGAGGCCCCAAAGGCAAGCCTTAAACGGCCCAAGGGAGCCCGAAGACGGCCCGAAAGGGCTCCACGAAGGTCTGGCGAACGTTGGCCCCGAGGAAGCCCGAGAGGGCCGCAGCACAGCCCACGGGGGCAGGCAAAAAACCCAAGAGACCCCCAGGGGGGAGACCGAAGGGACGAAAGAGGATGAGGAGGAGGAGGAGGACGACGAGGAGGAGCAAGGGTAGAACAAAGAGGAGGAGGAAGAGAAAGTGGACATGCAAGCGGGAGCGGCAGAGGAGGAAGAAGAGAAATCGAGGCCGCGGGGGGAAGAGGGGCAGGGAGAGGAGGAGGAGGAAGAAGAGGAAGAAGAGGAAGGAGAAGAAGAAGAAGAAGAAGAGGAAGAAGAAGAGGAAGAAGACGAAGAAGAAGAGGAGAAGGACGAGGGGGAGCGGGCGGCCGCAACGCCCAAACTTTACGCGTTCCAAACGCGCAACCCGCTAAGCCAAGGGAATCCACATGATGCCCGAGCCTGGAGCTTGGGGGGCTGGCGGCCGAAGGTGCAGCCCATCAGTGACTAGCGAAAGAGTATGTTTTTACCCCTTCCTCCTCCTCCTCCTCCTCCTCTTCCTCCTCCTCCGCCTCCTCCTCCTCCTCATCTTCCTCCTCCTCTTGTTCCTACACCTCCCGCTCTTTTTCCTCCTCCTCCTCCTCCTCATCATCTTTTTCCTCTTCCTATTCCTCCTCCTCCTCCTCCTCCTCCTCCTCCTCTTTCTCCTCCTCGTCCTCCTCCTGCTCCTCCTGCTCTTCGTCTTCCTCCTCGTCCTCCTCCCCCTCCTCCTCCTCCTCCTCCTGACACCTGACACCTGATGGCTGCACAGTCGTCTGACGAAGCGCCCCCCCCCAAGGGGCCGGTCGGCCTAGAGGGGGTGATCAAACCAATGCCATGTGACCCCTGGAGCACCACTCCAACGGTCATGCGAACGAAGAGGAGGGGGGAGGAGGTGGGGCTGACGCCGTGCACAGCGGTGACGCGGCGCTCGCGTTCACCGTCCGACGCAATAACTCACCCCCCACCACCACCGTCATGTGAGCAGCGGTGGCCGAGCAGCGGCAGCCCTGATGGCTGCGGCAAGGGGAGGATGAAGTAGGGATAAGCGACGCGGCTGTGGCAACAGTGGGTTGTGGCGCGGCTGGGCTGGCAGTGCGGCCGCGGCCATTGTCGCCCAACGGAGACGGCCAGGGGAGAAGAGCTACTACGTTGAGGCTGCATGGTGGTGCGGCTGCAAGGCTGGTAAAGTGAGCAGGCGGTAAGCTTACACAGCTCAATCGATTTGCGGCGCTGCTGGCCGCGGTCCCCATGGCCATCGCCAGGGCGGCCGACGGCAGTTGCTTCCCTCCGATCCCCCAGTGAATACGATACACGCCCCCCTCAGCGGCAGGCGGTAGACAAGCAAAATGCGCTGAGGATTCGTGGGGGTGCGGGCCATAGAGATTCAACGTAGAGGTATTGCCTGGTAGTGCGGCTGCAAAGCTGACAAGCAAGAGGTGGGGAATTCGAACCACTGGCATTGGAAGCGGGTGAGGGCGAAGCGGGGTAAAAAGAGGAGCGATGTGTCGTGGGTGGCAAGCTCAGTGGCGACAGTGGGCGGTGGCCACGCACGCCCGGGTGGACGGCGCAGGGGCCTCTCCATCTGCTCATACAAATTCCCCCACTGGGCGCCCCCAAGGCCAACAGCTGGACCACCTTCGCCAGGGTGGAAGGCATGGCATAATGGCCTCTCCCCCCGCACACATGGAAATCCCCCCCAAAGCGCCCCCTCGCCCCCGCGACGGGCACGCCCCGCCCGCCAGGCAGGAGCAGGGCGCCCAGCCCGCGGGGGCGAGGGCCGCTTCGGGGGGGGGGGGGGTCCACTGAGCGCGGGGGCGGTGCATGCCGTCCGTGGCGGTGGCGCACAGCAGGCGCGGGCAGGCGACAGCGGGTCGCGGCTGCGGCGGGGACCAGCCTGCAGGAGGCAAAGCGGAACACGAGGCGCGAACAGTGTCCGGAAAGACAGCAGGGTTGCGCTGGCAGCCCGCGCGCAGGTGCAACCTGCCAGCTGCCTTGCGGCCACGGCCACCCTGGCCTTAGCCAGGGCAACCAGCGGCGAGCCCTCGCCCTCCCCCCGCCCGCAGCCCCCCCCCGCCACGAGAGGGGGTGCGGCGGGGGGGCAGCGAGGCAACGCAAGGGGAAGAGGGCCGCAGGAATATGAGCCGGGAGGGAGCGAAGGTCGGAGGTCGGCGGAGGCACTCATGTGCATAGTGCGCTTGTGGGCGAGGAAGCCCCGCAGGGACCCACCGTCGTAATCTGCGGGTGAGAACGCCCCGCAGACCCACTCACGCGCGCCGGATAGCGCGGCACCCGCGGGTGAGAAAGCCCCCTGTGGACCCACGGCATGGCATAGCTGTTGTTGCCGTTCTCGCCGCGCGCTGCGCTGCGTTGGTGGGCGCCTGCGCTGATACTGCCGCCGAAGCAAAAGTGAATGAGCGACTGTCTGCGCTGCGCACTGCCGTTGGAGAGAGAGGACGGGGGCAACCTGCGAACAGCTGGGCTGGCGCCGATGAAAATCGGTGCGCGCGTTCGGTTTGGCGCAAGAGTGGTGCCGAGATAAATTGAAGGCACGGAGCAGCTAGTGCAGCGCCGCGTCTGCATTGGAACAAAACTGTTCAAAAATAATACATGGAGTGAGCGACGCACTGATGGACCGCCGCTCGGCCGGCCCCATCCTGCGGCCAGGGCCTCGCGGTCGTTGGTGATCAGGAGGAGGGGGGCGTCCCCTGATTCGCCGCGGAGTTGCATTAGAGCTGGTAGGCGACTGCGCGGGGCGGCCATGGCTGCCACCCCCCGTCGGCGTCGGTCGTCGCGCGCGCCTCAAAGCCGCGCGCCCGCGGGTCTTGCAAGCCCACGGGGTTCCCCGATCCTTCCCCCTGCGGGCTGGTCGCTGGCACTTCCAGGTTCGCAGGGTGGTCGGGGTGGATGGAGTCGTCGGTTGGCGCGGTTTCTGGTGGTCGTTGCACGTCGGTGTCAGACGCGCGCATGCCTCTCGGACGCGGCGACGCTTCGGGCGGGCCCCCGCCCCAGCGGCGGGCTGGGCGCGCAGGCCTGCGCGCCGCTCACTCCGAGCTGCGACTTGAGCGGGGGCTTCTTCTGAGCGGCTGAGCCCGGCGATGGCGTTGCTGAAGCCGGCCTCTGCGTCTTGCGCTGCTGGCACCTGCTTCGGCGCCGTTGCTCTGCGCGCGGGTTAGAGCTCGCGCCTGCGTTGGGCTGGTCGCCGTTGGCGGAGCGTCGCGGCCGGCCCGCTGCGCCGCGGGGATAGGTCACGCCCCGAAGGGGAAGCGGTCAGGTCAGAGCCCTGGGCGTCGATCAGCTCGTCAATCTGGTTGATGGCAGCAGCGGCGGCACCCCTCTAATATCTCGCGATGGGGCACGGCGCGGGCTGAGAGGTCTGGTCGCAGCGCATGCCCAGCTTGACGCGCATCAAAAGGCTGCGGCGTTGGTAGGTCACAGCAGCTGGCGCGGGGACGCCGTCGCAACCGTCGCCGACCTGGCGCGCCAGCATCGCCGCGAGCTGGCGGTTGACAAGCGGGCGAGCACGGCCTGCCCATGTGTCTTCTCGAACAGGCGCACTTCTGGTAGCCCGTCATGCCTGAGGGCGTAGTTGAGCGATGCTTCGACGTAGCTCATGACCCCGCCGCACTCGACGCGCGCGTCGCGGTGGTCGCCCTGCAAGATGATTCGACGCAGTCGCCCCCAACGCTGTTCGCGTCGCCGAAGAATTCTGCGATTTGCTTACGCGCATGGATCTTGGGGATCGGAATGTCTCGATCGCATCGGCAATTGCTGATGCAGTTGGCCAGCCTTGCGATCGTGTCCTGGCGCATCTCGCCGGGCCCCAATCCAGAGGTCACCCCGCGAGGTGGCTGCTCGATCGGCGGCCTCACTTTTTCGCGCAGGGGGGCCCATGTGGACCCCCCCAAGTGCCTTGACTTTGAATGTGGACCCCTCGTTGTGAGATGTCAAGGCATGACCGCCGATGCCACCCGGCGCCCCCTTCTCGCTGCTCCTCAGCGGCGGCGCCTCGCGCGGTGGCTTGGATGGAAGGCCTCGGTAGGGAGAGCGACGCATTGTGACGCTACATGAGGCGCCGTCCCCCCAGCTCTCGCGCCCCGCTGCTTCGGCGCGCTGCTTGTTCCGCCGGCGATCGGCGGTGCCTTGCAGCGCGGCCCGCGCACGGTTGCAGGCGTCGCTTCGCCGACGGCGGACGCCGCTGCGGTTGCAGTCGGCGTCGCCGCCATTGCTGCAGCGCGATTGCAGCGAGGCCGATGAGACGCATGCGGTGGCGGGGCCGCTTGGGTCTCCACAGCGACCCTCAGGCGAGCTCGGTCATCTGGTTGTCCATCAGGCCAGCGGCGGTTTCCTTGGGGGCATCGACCTCGCCCCTGAAGTCGCAGTCGGCGTAGCACGCCGCGATGGCTTTCTCAGGCGCGGGCATGCCGACGCAGCGCGATCGAGCCTGCGGCGACGGGGGGCGCGCCCTCGGCAGGAGTGGCGGCGGCGGTGGATGGCCCCGGTCGCGCGGCGACATCGGCGGGCGGGCCACGACGCGCTCGCTGGCGTCGCAGACGCACCCCGCATTGTCGGAAGATAGAGCTCTCTTCCAGCCTGGACGTCGTAGCGCGCTGCCTGGGTCATCCCATGTGCAATGCCTCGTGTCCAGGCTGTAGTAGCATACCTGGGCGCGCCACGTGGCAGGCGCATCATCTACTGGGCATGCGACCCCTGGCATCGGCAGTGGAAGTCGATGGCGGGGCCCCAGGGGCAACCCGCGGGGAAGGCAAGCTGTTTGCAGGGCCTGCGCCACCGCGCGCGCGTCCCAAGTCGCCCAGCCAGGCGGGTAGAACGGCGGAGGCGGGCAGCTTGGTGGCGGCGGCTCGCTGTGGGCGCCAGCCCCACGGGTTGAACGGTCGGTGATGGCCCGATTGGTCTTCATCTTCGGCTGCCTCGCGGCAGCTTGCTCTGATCTGGGTCAGGGGTTAACTCTTGAATGTTGAATGCTGTGCGTGAACATGGTGATTTCGCTATTTGGCGTGCGCTTCGCGTAGCCCATCAGCTCAATCATCGCCTCGTAGTCGTCATTAATGCTGTAGTAATGGGTCCCAATCGTGGCTGGCATCTCCCTTCCCTCAGCGAGCAGCTCAGGCGTAATGTGTGGCATTGAGGTCGTGGATGTCTGTTCCAAGCGTCGCCACACAGCCGTAGACCCAGGTTTCTGTCGGTTCCCCCCATCTGGCGGGTTCGGGGGGCGGTGGTCGGGCGATGGCGTCTGCCGCTCGGGGTGGCGTCATGCCCGTGGTAGTGTGATGGCACCCACTCAACGTCGTCCTCGTATGCGACGTCACTGGGCAGGTGCCAGCTGATGCCTGCAATTGTAAGCCACTGTGGGTTGCCGCAGGACGGTGGTACCGGCTGGAACTCGCACCTCTCAGTCACCTCGTTGAAGTGGTTGGTGGGGCCCTGTACTCCGCGCTGTAATCCCTGACGAGGTGATACTTCTCGTTGATGACCTCGATGACAGGTACCAGGTCTCCTTTGGGGTCGCCTTCCGCCGCGCGGAAACCTGCACGAGTTTGTGGCGCCATGTGCAGGATGTCTTGTCGAATACCAGGTTGGCACTGTGAGGATAAGTGGCATTGGGCACATGGTTGTCAGGGTGTCCGCACAGTAGAGGAGGGGCAGAGCTTCGTTCGGTTCCTGCACATTGCTGTTCTGGTCGGTTGTGCGGAGCACGTAACCAGCGCTACGGGTCTTAGAGTGGATGGCCTTTCGCCCCGCGTCCTGCAAATCTGCTCAGTTGAATACTTGCTTGAATGTTTGCGTACAGAGGACCTTGTGGACCTGGTCGGCGTTGGACATCTCCGTCCCGTGCGGACCAGTCTGAAGCGGGGCGGGGTCACTCATGTTCGCCTCGGCCAGTCCACTGGCCCACTCCCATGGTAAAGCGGCGATCAGGGCTCGGCGAAGTGTTTCGCTGTGGTGGCTGTCGCCCCTGCTTCTGACCCATACTGCCTTTTTCTGTAATGACGTATGTGTGGGTCAATCCCTCCTCCCCCCCCTCCTCCCCCTGTTCCTCCTCCTCTTCCTCCTCCTCCTCCTGCTCCTGCTCCTCCTCCTCCTCCTCCTCCTCCCCCTCCCCCTCCATTCCCTTCACCAGTACCCTCTCTGAGACAGCCGAATTACCCAGGACGTGAGGGAATGACGTAAGTCTCTAGGATAAACCATGAAGATGTGCTCGAGAAGTATCGACAGACCGTGCCGATCCCACAAACTCAGGTTGAACTCGCCAAGCTCGACACTGACCCCAATCCAAATAACGTTTAGCAGCGTGACGAGCATCGAGATCGTGAAAAACGATGCGCTCTCTGAGATCCAGGCGCAGATGTTGTCGGCCTTTGTCCAGTGCGATCTGAAGCCCTTCTGGTGGCTGCTCAGATTGGAGGTAATTACGGTCGTCAGCTCCCCTGTGCCTGTGCCCAGAATGTTTTGCTGGCGCTTCTTGTATTTCTCGAAGGACTCCCAGCGTGGCTCACCCAAAAAAACTGACCTCGCGATGGCCTGGACATGACGCGCCGTCTCGATGTACCAACTCTTGTTGCCAAGACGGCGCACCGGCCGGATGTTACGAGAGCTGGGATCCAGCTGGTGCATGTCAACAAAGAAGATCTCCATCGGCGTCTGGCCCTCCCTGCCGCTCTTAATGCGCACCATGGAATGACCACGGCGGTAGGCATCTTCGATGCGCGCGTTCTGCTTGGGAGGGTAATTCCGAAAACCACCCTTGGAGCGCTGCCACTGCCACACGTACTGGCCGCGACTCAGCTCGCCCACCTCTTGGTCCACGGACTCCGACAGGCCCGACTTGGACTTGCCAGCGCGGGCAGCTGCCAAGGTGGAGTCCGCCGCTCCCCCCTCTGTGTCGTAGGTCTGCATCGATCCTTGGCTCGACAAGAGGGACGAGGCCTTGCTTTCTGCTCCCGTCCGCTGGCTGGCAGCACATGCCTCCAGGGGCAGCGCATCCGCAGATCTCCCCTGGCGGGCGGACGGGAGATCGCCCACGTCGCTGACCACACCCGACTCGGCCTCGGACACGCTCGACGACTCGCCGTCGATGCCGCCCGCCTCGGGGCGCCCCTCGCGCGCCAGCCTCGAGATCGCCCCCTCCAGGTAGGCCACCTCGCGCCGGTGCGCCGCGTGCAGCTGCTCCAGCACCTCGCAGAACAGCGCGGGCGGAGGCCGCTCGCCCACGGGCGGCGCCGCCGCTGCGTGCGGTGGCGACGGCGTCCTGGCCGCGGCGCCCTCCGGCCCCGCCTCGGCCCCACTGGGGCCCCTGGGCCCCGCGGCCGGGGGCTCCTCCTCGTCGAAGCCCATCGGGGAGGGCCCCGCGCGGGCCGCGAGGGGCGCGCGGCCGCCCGCGCGGAAAGGGGGAGGGGGCGCCCGCCTCGCGCCAGGCTTCGGCGAGGGGCGCTCGCGGAGGAAGGGCGGCGGCGGGGGCGAGGAGCATGAGAAGGCAGCAGCAGGCGGGAACGCGGGAGCATGCAGCGCAGGAGCACGCAGCAGGAGCAGCAAGAGCTTGGCTTGGACCCTCGCGCAGGGGGGCATGATGGCGCGCACACGGGCCGCACGTGTGGGGAAGCAGCCGCTCTGGCTGACTGGGCCGGCTGAAGGTGGCCATCCTGGGCAGGTACTGGGACACCCAGAAAAAGGACCAGGACGCAGACTCCAGAAACCCGGAACAACAACAGGTGTTGATGTCTCACTGTTACTTCCGCCGCCTTCTGCCCGCCTTCCGCACACTTCGGCTGGCGGGCCCACCGCCAGTTTACTTCCTCCAGATTTCGAGGCGAGATGGACCCAAGGCGAGGTGTTGAGTGTAAAGCGCGCCATGTCAGAGTAAAGGAGCCGAACGGTATTGCATTGTCCGTGGGTGCGCGTGCGTGGCCGAAGTGGGCGTCCGCGGTGCGGATCGTCGCTGCTGCAGTCGCCCCGCGACACAGACCGCGACGCGACCCACGCGCGCCGCGACCCACCCGCGACCCACGCGGGACATGTCTTCAACCAGCATCGACGCTTGCAGCAGGCTGACCCACCCACCTTGACTTCAAAACGAAAATCGGGCTGTTTTCAATGGGCTTGGGAGAATCTGCATTGTGAACCCTCGCCCGCGAGACCTGGCAACGATGCGCCCTGCGGACCACGCACATCGCTTGAGCCAAACCAACGCATGCAGCGGGCCGAACAGCCCACACCATGCTCCAAACAACCAGATCGGCGCCCCCTCACTGCTGTCCACAACTGCGGTGGACTGGCAATCCTCCCGACCACACACACGGGAGCACCTGGCGGCCGCAAACGGAGCACCCCCGATGGCGGTCGATCCGGGCTGCCCGTCTCTCGCCCCACGTCCGGCTGGCGCGCCTCCCGTGAAGAACGATAACTGCTGAAGACCAAACTGTCGGAGGTCAGCGCGGATTTCTTGGGCCGGCGCGGCACCGCCCTCCCCACACACCCTTCCCGGCGTGCCTCCCGCCGCCAGGCGTGCAGAGGGGCCCGGCGCCAACAGCGGAGAGCTGGCGCGGACGCCCGGAAGGCCACGCCCGTGGCCTGGTTCGGCTACTTGTCCTCCTCTCGATTGAAGGGGCCCCGGGACACACAAATAAATACACGCAAATAAAATGATTCCCCATATTTTCCTGTATTTTCTGGGTTTTTGTCGTCCCGCCCAATTCCCACATTTTCCCATATTTTTCTGGGACTCGACGATTAATTGTGTCTGTGTGTTTCTTTCCCTCCTGATCGATGACCCTCAGAACGTGCGATGACCCCCAGAACCTGCGTCAGCGCCAACGTGCCTCTGTCCACCGAGGCCCTTCAGTACGACGCAGGCGGCGCAGCGAGGGCTGACACGGGCTGCGCGCTATCGGCAAAACCGAGCGGGGCGAACACCCGCTTGGGCCAACACACGCCTGGTGGATCGTCGATCCCTCCTCCCTCCTCCCGCCTTCCGCCTCCTGGCATTCCTCCTTCTGGCCCCCCTCCTCCCTCCGTGAGACGAGGCCAGGGCGAGGATAAAATCGGGCGAGGATAAATAAAAAATCTCTGAGATTCGGCGGCTCTGGAGGCCGTCTCGGGCGCCGCGGCCTTCTCAGAGCGTTCCAGAACGCTCTGAGAGTGTCCCGGAAAGCTCTGGGACGGATTTATCCTCGCCCTGGCACCGTCCGACCTCCCCCCCGAGAGGTCTCCCAAATGAGCGACGAAAACCTGATACTGCCACGAACCCCGACCTTGGAGGACAAGTGAGCGTGACTTGCGAGGAAGAGAAAAAACAAAGAAGAGGATGCCTATCGGCATAATGCTGATGTCTGTGTTGCCTGTTTGACACTGTGCCGCATTCAGGCGCATTATGTTGTTCCCGTGCCGTCCGTTTGATGTTGTACTACTTTGTCGGGGCATTTCCGACCATCTTGGGGCCGTGTTGGACAGTCTTTGGGCAGTCTAGGACCATCCGGTAGAGGGAAACAATTACTGAACACTCCCCCTCCCCCCAACTCAATGTTGGCACGCGCGGAAGGCACTGCGGTCGAACTGCATCTCATCAGACCCACCGCCAACTTTGAACATTGGGGGGAAGGGGGAGGCGTTGACAGATGAATTCGGCATGAGTGTTCGGCAATTTGTTCCGAGGCCTGTGGGCACGTTGCCCAGCACGTGACTACGCTCGAACGGATTGGGGTGCAGAAGTAAAAGGAGCGGTACACGGGAAAATGTTCGAGGGTGGACTGGGGAGGAGTCGTCTCAATCACTGCGAAACTCACGTGGACTTACCCCGGACTGAGTCAAACAGGGGCAAGTCGAACTTGAGACTTTGCTTTTCGACTTTTACGACGAACCATGGCGGCGGCCGACTGACAACGACGACGTCCGGGCAACAAGCAAGAAACGGCGCAAGCGGCTGCATGTTGTCATGTATAGCGCCTACCCAACGGCCCCGGGGCCCCCGGGAGGCGCTTCGCGCATCCCACCATATTTTTCACGTATTACTCGCATCACTCGTCCCAGCACTCCCTATGTTTTACATATTACTCGTATCACTCGTTAAAAAAGGAATCTTATTTTCTTTCTACGAGTGGTATGAGTAATATGTGAAAAATAAGGAGTGATGGGACGAGTGATACGAGTAATACATGACGAATGAGGCGCGGGACGACCTGGGCGCCAAAACACTAAAAAGGGTGGTATATACATACATGTGTACACATACATATACATATAAATATGTGTATATGTCATGATGGTCTCGCAGAAATCCTTACCCACAGAAGCGCTCGGCAAACTCGCAATTGACGGGGTAAACTAAAACATGAGACGGTAGAGGGAAACAATTACTGAACACTCCCCCTCCCCCCAACTCAATGTTGGCACGCGCGGAAAGCACTGCGGTCGAACTGCATCTCATCAGACCCACCGCCAACTTTGAACATTGGGGGGAAGGGGGAGGCGTTGACAGATGAATTCGGCATGAGTGTTCGCTAATTTGTTCCGAAGCCTGTCTCTTAGGCAGTCTTGGGAAAGTCTCGGGGGCCTCCTGGGGCTTCCTGGAGACTTCTTGGAGGCTTCTTGGGGCCTCTTGGGGGCCTCTTGGGACCTCCTTGGGCTTTGGGCGGAGCCGATATGTCGGTCCCTGCCCCCCCTCTGGGGCCGCTCCTGGGGCGTTCCTGGGGCCGTCTTAGGCCGTCTTGGGGGCGTCTTAGGCCGTCTTGGGGGCGTCTTCGGCCGTCTGGGCGCCCTCCTGGGGGGCCTATCGACTTTTAGATTCTCTGAAGGCGAAGTCCTTCCTGGAACGCCCTCCATGTGTGAGTGGAGCTGGGAGGTCTCAGGGCGCCTGCGTGCGGCGCCAAGGTGAGAGAGCCACCAGCACACGACAGCTGCGCGACCGAAGGAGGCGAACGGGCGGTCCCCGATCTGGCAAGTCGGAGTGGGCGGCCGGATACGTACGGCAGGTTCGTGTCGTGACAACCCTGGTGTTGGTTTCTGACACCGCGTGGATCGTTCAGCCTTGAACGATCGGCGGCTTTTCGATCGCCCGATCGTTCCATGTAGGCGGATTCTGGGCCACTGGCGGCGTGCAACGTTGAAAGTCCGCGGCGGGGACGCCCGCCGCTGGTCGACACGACGCGAACCTACCGTATGTGTACGGGGCGTGATGTCGGTGAGCTGCTCAAGACGTGCAAACGGGAGCCAGATCTGAGGGAAATGCGTCCTCCATCAGTGTGATGGTCCCAGATATCCGACGATGTTTTTTTTCAATCCTGGCGTACGTCCTCGATTCGGCCCATGGAGCCACTGATCGGGCCACGGGAGCATTAGAAGTGTATCCATGATGGCCTTCCTGGGAAGCGGTCGAGACCTATGGGGCCGCAGATTGAAAAGTGGCACCGTCGGATGTCTGGGGTTGCAGGCTTTGAAAGCGGGAGCCACAGGCAAAGTTGGTGCCCTTCGAGCTCCCAGCTTCGCTGGGGCCGTGCGTGTGAAAGAGTGAATTGAGTCCAGCACGCCACCATGCGAGCCACCGGCAACGCCGGACTATGGGGGGTATCTCGGGCCAGCTTGGAGCGTTAAGAAACCGGGCAGCCGAAAACGGAGAAGAACCAAAAAGAACTAAAGGAAATCCATGAGTTTGGACTCTTGGGGGTCTCTTGAGAGACCTCTTGGAGGACAAGTGGGCGTGACTTTCGAGCAAGAAAACAGCAAAGAAGAAGATGCCCATAGAGCGCGCGACGCTGGTTCCCGTGTTGTCCGTTTGGGGCGTCACCAGCCGTCGTGGGGCTCTCTGGGGGGGTCTTGAGGCCGTCTTGAAGGCTTCTGGGGGGTTCCTGGAGGCCTCTTCGAGGCTTCTCGGGGCCTCTTGGAGGCCTCTTGTAGGCCTCCTGGGGGCCTCTTGGCGCCTCCCGGGGGTCTCTTGGGGGGGGGGGGGGTGGGCCGAAATGTCGGTCCCTGCCTACTCTCTGGGGGCTTACTTGGGGCGCTCCTGGAGCCTTCTGAGGCCGTCTTGGAGGCCTCCGGGGCTGTTTTGAGGGCGCCTTGGACCGTCTGCCTGAAGCAAGCGCGAGGAAGTCCCAGGCGACAGCGCGACTCCCGAGTGTAGAAGGCGCGACGCCTGAATAAACTGCGGGGAAATATCGAGCGAGAGTGCGATTCGTTCACCACCACGACGCCGGCGACGCCGACGACGGCGACCACCCCTACGACGACGACGACGATGCCGACGACGACACCGACAACGACGACGACGACGACGACGACGACGACGGCGACGACGACGGCGACGACGGCGACGACGACGGCGGCGGCGGCGGCGGCGGCGGCGGCGG